TTATGTATAATATACTATGGGATTTATATCCTTTTTTTAGACTTTTTTTTTGTTGTTGCAAGGCAATTGGGGTGAAGTGACTTGCCCAGAGTCACACAGCTAGTAAGGGCCGGTACTCTATGCACTATATCCTTCTTTTGAAAACAGAAAAGTTGGTTGGAAATAATGGAATTCAATATAAATCTCTAGTTTAAAAAGTCAAAGCTTTATGAAATTGTATGGTTTATTTAAACTTTGAAGGTTTAAAAACTGGAAAGAAAATAATGCCTGCTTTTATAATTATATAATTTAATATTTAATTTGAATCAAATTTCTAACTCAGAGGTTTTATACAGGTTTGATAATTATATATTCCTTAGCAATGAAGATAATTATGTACACTGAGTGGATGTTTTGTTTAGTAATTAACACCAAACAAATTCATGTCTTGACAACTTCTAAATCCCTAAAGGAAAAAAGTTGTATAAAGTTTCGTTAAATTAGCAGTTAGCTAGTTTCTGCCTGTCACTACCATATTGCAAGGAAAGTGAATGCAGTAGGCCAGTGAATTTAATGAAAATTTAACCATCTGTTCTAATTCTAGGCCTAAAAAGAATTTTTCCAACAATATGATGATTAGATTAACATGACATCAATTCATGAACTATTGCTGAGAAGATACACAGAACTACCTACAGAAATGATCATGAATGCCCCGTCAATAAGGCCACCTATTGTAAAATGACTATATCTGCTTTGCGCTATTGCCTGTTTCTTTAGAACTCTCACATCAAAACTGAATGTATAATTTATTGTTCTCATCAAGACCTACTTTTATACTTTAATTTTGGATTTAAATGTATTACTTTTACTAAGATTTTCTATTTTAATAAGTAAATACTTTAAGAGAAGTAGGGTGGTTTAATGCCAAGACCTCTATGAACTCATGAAGAGCAAAGTGAGCAGAACCAGGAAAACAATTTACACAATGACAATATTATAGAGAAATACAACTTTGAAAGACTTTAGAATGACAGAAAGATACTAAATGTAACTAAATATTGATAGAAGCACTTTCTGTGGTAGCAAAGAACTAGAAGCATAGTGGGTGTCCATCAATTTAAGAAAGACTAAACAAATTGTGCTCCATGAATATAATGGGGTATTAACCATACCATAAGATGTGATAAATGTGAATTCAGGAAAACTTGGAAGACCATGTATGAAATGTTGCAGAAAGAAGTAAAATGGAGCCAACAGAACACTATCCACAATGGTCACAATAATATAAAAGAAAACAACACTAAAATACATGAGAATTCAGATCAATGCAATGACCCATCCAATGAAACATTACTTCCCTTGCTCTAGATAGAGAGGTGGTAGACTAGGCACATGTTATCACCTGTATCTCCCTCATATCGCTCACATGTGTCCTATTCTTTACACTCTCATAGCCACTACTCCAGTTGAGACCCTCATCGCTACTTTGATCTATTGTAACAGACTCTTAATTGGTCTCTCTGCCCCCTCTCCAATCTATGCATTGCCAAAATAACATTCCTAAAGCAGAGATCTGATCATGTCACTCTCCTCTTGAAGAGGCCTCAATGAATCTCTATTGCCTCTAAGATAAAATACAAACAACTATTTGGAATTACAGTCTTTCACAAATTTGGCACCAACCTCTCTCTCTAGACTGATTTTCATATCACTTCGCTCCACTCACTCTATGTTCTGGCCAAAATGAGCTCCTGGTTTCTCATATGCATCATTCCATGCCCATCATCTGTGCCCCAGGCCTGAAATGCTCTCTTTTCACTCTTAGAATTCCTTCAAGAGTTGCCTCTTGCAGGAGGCCTTTCCTGACTGGTTGACAGTGTGTTCTCTCAAAATTACCTAGTATTGACTTTGTTCAGCAAATTGTTTTTCTCTGAACCTGTGATTTCATAGGTACAGGGAATCTCTCTGAGGAAGTACATTCTTCTAACGTAGATCAGCAACTGATCTTCAACCTACAGTCTTAGAAAATTGGACATTAAGAGGTTAAGTGACTTGCTTAGAGTCACACAGCCACTATGTGTAAGAAGCATTTGAATTCAGATCTTCCTGATTATGAAACAGTTCCCTATCCCCTAAAAACCACACTGCCATGCTGTTGTATTGGTATAGCACACAATAGAGGCTTAATAAATGCTTGAATTGAGTTGTTTTGTTTTGCTTAATTATACTTCTTTGTTACAAGAAAAGGTTCTCTCAGGGGAACATTAGGAAATGACAGAATTTCTTTTTTAAAAAGCATAAATTAAAAATGACTGAACTCAATCAAAATAAAAAAATTTTAAAAGTCTCTTTAAAAAAAAATTCATTGATAACCTTGGAGAAAGCAGTTTTAATGCAATGGTGGGGCCACATTCCAGATCAATCAATAAGCATTTATAAAGCATCTACTAATAATTGCCATTTACACAGTGCTTTAAGATTTGCAAAGTAATTTAAATACGTTATCTCATTTGATCCTCACAACAATCTTCGAAGGTGGGTGGTATTCTTCTCCCCAATTTACAGATGGGGAAACGGAGGCTTAGAGAGGTCATAAAGATATTAATTGCCTGAGAAGATTTAAACACACGTTCTCCTAACTCCAAGTCCGGTTTACTCTATCCACTAGGTACCTCTACTATGTGCCAGGCCCTGGGCCAGGTGTTAGGGATAAGGATCCACTTGCAAGAGACTGGTAAGTGAGTGAGTTGTGAAAAAGTACAAGCAGAGAATTTAGATGATTCTTTCTAGGAATTTGGCAATGAAATTGTAAAGACATACACATAGGATGATGGCATGATAGCACGACCAAGGTTAAGAGAGAGTTTCATAAGGATGAGATAGAGTGAGGAAGGAGTGGACAGACAGGTAGACATGGAAAAGAGAGAAGGAATATTCAATGGGGCAGGCTCCTGCAAGAGAAGAGCCAATAGGGGATTGAGAGCACAGGTAGAATAGCTGTCACAGGCAAAGAAAAAGGCGATCACTTCCTCAGATAAAGGGAGAGCAGATAAGTGAAGAGGTAGAGGGACTTAGTTGGGGAAAATATATATATATATATATATATAGCCTCTATTTTTTTCAGTATAGTAAGAGGTAAAGGTGTCTATTGATAGGAAGATGGGTAGAAGAGGCATTGGGGGTGGGGCAGCATTATATAATAGAAGGAATTTTGGACTTAGAGTTAGGAGGACCTGAATTCAAAATCTGGACTTTGAAGACTTAATAGTTATGAGATCCTGGTTAAGTCATATATTTTTCTCAGCCTCAGCTTCTTCATCTATAAAGTGGTGATAATAATACATATTGTACCTATCTTAAAGAGCAGTAGTGTTGTTTAAGATAATGTACTTAAGGCATTTTGCAAGCTTTAAAGTGCTACTTAAATGTCAGCTGTCAGTTGTGATTATGGGGGCTAGAAGAAAAAAAAGGTTTGGAACAACTGCTGAAGGGAGTGGAACAGAGTCAATTAGAGAAGATCAAACACTTTGTAGCCTATCATTGAGGACCCAGTTGGGATTAGAGCGAATGAATCTGTCATGGACCTGGTAACATCCCAGTGGTATGACTTCCAGTGGTTTTCTCAGCTTAGGAGGATAAGCAGGCAAAATGGCTAGTGAGGGTGAATCCAGGTTTGAGGACTAGCACATCACAAACAGCGGCTATGGCTAGACAAAAAGGCAAGGGAGACTAAGGAATTAGGGGGAAGCAATGTCTGTTGGTCAACTGTAGGGTCCAGACTATAAAGAAAGGAAAAGTGGAACCGATGCAGAGGTGACTGATAGTGAGAATAAGAAGGAATGGCGAGATTGAAGTCTATAATGAAGATGAAGAAGAGAGTTAGTAGCAAAGGAGAGAGAAGAGTAAGAGGCTGATGAAAGAGGGAAATTCCTGAGTTCAAAATCAAGGAGGCTGAAATTATAATAAGTGATGGTGAGATTTAAGTTATAATCAGCCTGGTGGATGACTGAGGTCGAGTGAAGGTGAGGGCTTAGATGTGGAGGAGGCTGATGAATTGTGGAGTCAGAGTGTAAAAGGGGACATGAATCTCTGTAGAGATGTTTCCAAGTATAAAGACAGGGGCAGAGTTTCTAGAAAGTTGACGTAAAAATTACCTAGGAGTCCAAGAAAATTGCCAATGCATTATCAATCAACATTGTGATTTGGTATCTACAAACACTGTGATCCTAAGCTGTCTTAATATAAAAAATATCCAGAAATAAGGAAAGCAGTCAACCTATTGTATTCTCTCTGGTCAGACCAAATCTGAAGTATTGTATTCTATATGACACATTTTGGGAAGGTCTATGACAAAGTGAAGCATATCCTGAAGAAGGTTTAGTCTAAAAAAAAAAGAAGATCCATGGGACATAATGGCGGTTATGGGGGTGTAGTGGAAAGAACACTGGACTTGCAGTAAGGAGCCCAGGGTTAGGATCCTGGCTATCATATTTACTAGTGCTGTGAGACTGGGCAAGTCACTTAAACTCTTTAAATCTCCATTTCCTCATCTCTAAAATGGGGAAAATAAATCTGTACTAACTACCAATTAGATTATTATATCCAAGAATTTATTATTGTCAGGCCTTTTTTCTTTTCTCTTTCCTTGAAAGAACATATTGGTAGGAGTACCTTTTTTGAGGTGGACACCTGCCTTAGTCCATCTAAGGAAGGGAGGAGGATCTTTTCTCTTTCCTCCAAAATACTGATGAATTCATTTGTATTTTTAAAAAAATACAATTTATTAAATGTCCTCTATTTTCCTCATTTTATAGAGGAAGAAACAAAGGTGAAAAGAGGTTAGGTGACTCAGGTCACATAACTAGCATGTAAATGAGGTCAATTTTGACATCAGTTGCCTAAAATTGGTACTCTCCAATTTAAAATTTAAATCATTTCTCACTTCATACTATGTCCATATAAACTGATGCTGAATTATTTAAGAAATTCAAAGCTTTGATCTTTATATTAGTACTTACGAAGGTGCAATATCCAGATGGTTGATGCTAAACCCGGAAGTGCAAAAACCTCCCAATGTTGTGGATATGGTTAAGAAGGCAATTGCCAAATAATAATCACAGCCAATGAATCCAGCTGCTACTAGGAATACTGCTGGCCCAATCATTCCTGGAATTCAATTTTTTTACAAGAAAGAGAAAGCAAAACTATTATGAAAGCACGGTATACTGTAGTGTGACAGCAGGTATTCTGAATCACGGTGTTACTGCCACCTAGTGCAGAAGCATTGTACAACATTATATTCTCCAAATTTTCATCATCTGCTGGTCACACTTTTGGTGGTGACTATAAGCCTACAATCCTTTAAAATATTTACATAAAACTCATAAAATCTTTGCTAACAGGATAAAGACAAGAGTAATATTACCAATATTAAATTAAAGGGACAATTACGTAAATGTACAAATGTATAAATGTATGTGTTATGAATGATGTGCCTAGATATGTTGAAGCTAAAAATCATGAAATACAGAGGGAAAATGATGGGGAGAAAATAACTGCCTAAAAATATGCAATCCAGGGAGAAAACTACAAAGTAATAAGCTATTTTTCTTGTAGTAATTTTAAATTTGCAATTACAAGATTAATAAAAATGAATCATAAGCTTTGATGCAAGTGTTAGAAAAATTAACACAGAAAACTGACAATATTTATAACTATGCGCAATTCACAAGGCAATATGAGCAGTTAGTATGATTGAAATGAAAACAGAAAATACTAAGTACAGATATATATGAATGATTTTTTTTTAATAAAGAGGATGCTGACAAGTTATTTTCTATGTTCTCAAAGGACAAAATAAGATGAAACAGGGTAATATAAAAGAGTCTTTAGTTACACATATGGAAAAAAATTTTTGATTGTTAAGGAGAGCTAAAACCATAGAAGGGGCCCTTTGCATTGCCAAACATACAGTACGGAGTTACTAAAATTACATATGGGAATAGAGGTGGTAGAATTTCCATGTTTGGAGATCTTCAAAAAGATAATAAAGAACTCTTTGTTCTGGGTGGTTTAAGATATTCACATTTATGAAAACTGTGACTGCAGGCTAAATCTGATCAATGACATGCAGTAAATTCTGTTCCAGCAAATTTTTTTATAAGTTTTTTTTTTTCCCCAGTAAGGGGGCTCATAGCCATAATAAAGAGTGTTTCCATTCTAAACAACTTTCCTCCCCCAAACCCAAGGTAAAATATAATATAATGTAAACATAAATCCAAAAGGCTGGACCTTGTTTATAAAATATAGGAGCTTAATGTTAACATTGTTAGAGATAACTAGATTTGTGAAGAATATCAAATCATAATCCTTTATCTGCATATTATACACATTGATTTAGGAAATATACAGATGTCATTTTACAAAAATGCACACAAAAATATTTTATGTGGAAATGAAAGAAATGACCAACATAACCTATCATTTTTGCTTCAATGTAAACGGTTTGATCTTAAAAAAAAATCAACCACTGTACCTACCTATTAAGCTAAATACTCTACGGACCCATACAGTTGAAAAATTCCATGTTACTCTTAAGTAGTCAGCTACTTGACCAGACAAGAGCATACAAACCCAACATCCAAAATAAGGTAGTGCAGATAAAAATCCATTCTGAAAAACAAAAAACAAACCAAGCATAATAATTTTGATGGCAATTAAAAAACTGAAAATAAGTACAACTAGACATACAGAAGATTTAAATCCAGTGTCTATCTTTTGTAGAGATACAAAATTTGAAGCAGTTTGTGTAGGTAGGAGAATCCTTTGATTTGTATAAGACAACAGGGACTTTCATAAGTAGATGCAGAACCCCAAACAGGGCTAGACATGAAGCAACTTCAGTAGAATAACACCTGGGACGAGAGTGGGGAGTTATTCATCTTGTTCAATGCTTTTCCTTGTCATACCACAAAACCAATGTTTACTAGCTCTTTCTAGGATGTACCAGTTTTTAAAATGTTATTTATTATTTCTTTTAAAATGAGAATAATTACTTACAATACTTGTATTAAAGGGCTGTGAGGAAATTGTTAGACAAAACTGAAATCATCATATGAATGTGAATTATTAAATTCTTTTCTTTCATGATACTTTCCACTCAACTCTAACAATATATTGGCCTAGGTAACATGATGTGAGAAGTAGTATGATGTAGCAGACAGAATATTAGATTAGGAATCAGAACTTGAGTTCTAGTCTTGACCTTACCATTTATTAGTTTTGTTTTCTTGGACAAATTACAACTTTTCTGAATTTCAGTTTCTTCATCTGAAAAATGTAGGTAATATCACCGGTCTTGCCTACCTTACAGAGATCTTGTACAGATCACGTGAGAAAATGGATGTGAAACATTCAAATGAATCTATGATCTATGATTTGGAAACTCCCTCCAACAACACAGATTACAACCCCATCCACGCCTGACCATTTTGTGCTACTCTTGTCTATATCTTCCCATAAGTTCATCACAGAGGGTTCACCTAATGTGATGGATGCCTTCCTCGCTGACACTGAGAGGGTAACACTGGCGTGCTCTGGTTGTCTGTCATCTCTCATCCTTGCTATGGAACCATTTTTTCTATCATGCAATTCCATGATGACATCTTTTATTGTTCTTCTTTGAAGTTCCTCACTGGATATATGTTGTAGCCTGCTCATACCCATCACATACTCTTCCACTGCCTTCTGTGATGCTCATATTTAATTCTTCAGAGATGGTCATACACTTCTGTTTTGCTATCATAGGGCAGCATTGGTAGACTCTTGATATCAAAACGATAGACCCCTGTTTTCATGAGAAGCATGGTTTCATCAAAGGAACTTCCTGTTCAGCTCTGGGTCCAACTTCTTGTCATCAAATGCACACCGTAATCTGGGCAATAAAAATTTTTCATCCCATGATCTGTGTATAAGGTCAGGCCAAAAAATATTTTTTTAAGATCTCTCCTAGAAGGCTTTGATTCAATAAGGATAATGTCATCTGCAAACAGACACAACTGAAAGACCTCACCATTACAGGAAATCCTTCTGCAACTGGGATTCTTTGCTGGTTCTCCTTTACCACAATGGCAAATACTTTTGACGAGCATACAATTCCCTCTTTATGTTTATGATCAGATGGATTGTTGAGCAGGGTCATTTCTGGTTTATCTTTCAAGGACTCTTGGCATTTTTAACTTTTGGACGGGAGACACTTTACTGAAAAAGAGACTACAAGGTGGTGTTTTGTTCTACTGAAGCAAATAATTTTTCATAATCAACAAACTAATAAGCATCTTATACTTTACACCTTTCAGTCAACTATGAAATGGTAAAGATACTGACTACTACATATAGAGGCCTGCTTGTTTCCAACTAATATCCTCATCAAGGATACCTTTGATTCATGTACAGATGACTCATAAATATTTTGAATAAATATGAATAGGTAAATAGGTGGGTAGTTAACTGATGTTTTCTCAGCCCCACTCTCATCCCTTCTCTTTTATGCATTAGCAAGAACTGAGGTTTTTTTCCCCATACTTTAGTATTATCTTTTTAATTTTTTATCTGTTCATTGTTCTTCCATTTCCATTCTTAAGTGTCCTTAGTATCACTTGCTTAAAGGGGTGTTTGCCAAAATGGTTTTTCTCTCCATTTCTTCTTTGTTTTCTGAAACAATATTGCTCATAATCATCCATCATTCTTCTTTTTTGTTTGTTTTTTGGTGAGGCAATCAGGGTTAAGTGACTTGCCCAGGGTCACACAGCTAGTAAGTGTCAAGTGTCTGAGGCCGCATTTGAACTCAGGTCCTCTTGACTCCAAAGCCAGAGTTCTATCCACTGCACCACCTCATTCTTCTTAAGATTTTTCAAATGAGTTTATATTCTAACCCAGTGTTACCTTTGGTAGTCATCTCTATCTATCTGGTGAGTAAGTCAGATGTTTGCTGGCTAGGGAGGCTCTTTCAGTCTCTTTGCTGAGGTAATTAATTTATGTTAGTTAATTACTGCATAAAATTATTACAGTAGGTGTAAATTTTGTTTCCTCCTGTCCATTTGCCATTTTGATTGTCAATTATTTGTTTAACTGGTCTAGGATTGAGTTGTTTCAGGTGTGCACCACATCTTTTCCTCTTTATTTTTCTTCTTGCTTTTTACTAAAACCAATCTTAGGTAGGACAAGTTGATGGTCTGAATAAAAACAGACAGCCAAATCAGGGATAATTTCCACATCAATTAATGAGTCTCTTCTCATCTGTTAAAATAGAATCAATTTTGTGTGTGTGATGATATGGTATAGTAGAGAGAAATCTGACTGTAAATCCAAGAGGATTTAGTTCAAGTCCAGCCTTTGCCACATCCCCACTGTGTAACCCTGGACTAGTCATTGAGCTCAGTGATATAGGCAACTCTCTAAGAGTAACACTATAGGGGCAGCTAGGTGGCGCAGTGGATAGAGCACAGGCCCTGGAGTCAGGAGGACCTGAGTTCAAATCTGAACTCAGACACATAAGGCTCACTAGCTGTGTGACTCTGGGCAAGTCACTCAACCCTAACTGCCTCAAGCAAAAAACAAACAAAAAAAGTAACACTATGACTCTCAAGGTGCACAGAAGGTGCTAACTAGTATTGGCAGAGGGCATTTCCTCACCTGGAAGCTCACTATACCAATTAAATCACAGGTCCAGTCCTTTTCCCTGTCCATATTTGGTGCTCCTCGTGTTTAGCGTGTTCTTTTCTTGAACAAAGCAACGGTGACACAAGGTGTGAGGTTTAAGAGTCATCCATAAGTCTTCAGTATCTCTCATTCCTTCTTCCTGAACCATGTTTTCCCATATACTTCTTCCCATCCTCACCTTTTCCCATGTTTGCAATGAAGTCAACAAGTATTGGAGTGTATTTGGATTTAATTTGTAGAGCTTATTAAGTTCTAAATAGTTTTTCTAACATTTCATCTTCAGCAACCAATGCTGGCATAAGCTACAGTAATTTTCATGGTATTTTTTTTTTGCAAGTCCTTATCTACTACAATGTGATTAACAAGTAATTTTGTTTGTTTGTTTGTTTTCTGGCCTGCCATAAGGAGTATAATAAAACCTACTCCACCAACTCCTTTTTTTTTTTTTGTCTCTCCATCAAGTATTCTGTATGCTAATTTTCTATGTAGCTGTAACTTCCTCTTTTCTCCTGGTTTTATCAATAGCAAAAAATATTAAGGCTGACAAAATTTGGTTTCTCCAGCAGTACATGCTAAATTATTTTTTATTTTGTAGGTGGCCATCAACAGGAAAAATTCATTACCAACTATCTAGTCTATTGGTGATATGTCTTTTTCAGCTAGGGAAACAGACTCATTCTGTTTCTGGGACCATACTCAAATCCTTTACAGTATGGCAAAATCTGCCGGAGCACACATTCCATTAGTACAGCCTTTGGGAACCCCAGGTCACCACCATATTACAATGAGTTACTGGAAGATAAACTTCTAAACACCTGTTACTAGTGAACATCTGGGAAAGGAAGCAGTGAACAGAAAGAAGGCAGCATAGATGGCTCTATCAAAAACAGGCCATTCATAACTAACTTCAGTTCCTTTTTTGAAACGTCACTAGGTAGAGCTCTTTACCATTAGCTCCTCATATCAATGAAATCACAAGTCCAGTCTCTCTCCTTATCCCTACAAGACTGGTAGATCAGGGGAATGCTGGATATATAGTTTACCCAAATGTTTAAAAAGTATTTTTATTGATGTTTTTACATCACTTAAATTTTGCAATGAATCCCTCCCCTGCAATTCCACAGAAACATGTATAACAGAATAAAAAAGAGAAGGAAAAAAAGCAGTTCAGGAAAATCAACCAACACATTAAAAAAAAAGTCTAACATCATTTTCCTTGGGTGAATATTTCCCTTACACATTTTATTTGAATTTCCACACAATGGAAATTTATTTTGTATGACTCTGCTACACAGATAAACTATAACAGAGTGAATTTTCCAGTTATTGCATGATTCAAGAGTGGCATAATGTTGGTTCTACATTAACAGTGCCTTAGTGTAGATTAATTTTTCATACATATAGTTTCATTTTTTTCGCAGAATCTGAGAATTGGAAGGGACTCTGAAGGTTATTCAGTACAAGTCATACTTGAACAGAAATTTCCTTTACAATAGTTAATGTAAAATAACAAATTATATTCTCCCATAACATTTTAAATTAGTTCCACATATATTTGCGATTGTTAGGCTACACATTGTAAGGATGTGATCACATTTGGTACTGGGGGGTTAAGGGTGGGGAGGGAGGCTTTGTGGAAAAATTATAGCAATGACAGGCAGCATCCTATAGAAGGAACACTGAATTTGGAATCAGAGGACTAGGGTTTAAATTCTAGCTCCACTGTATTCTGTGGTCCTGGGTCTTAGTTTCCCCATTTGTAAAGTTGGGAAGCTGGACTGGATCTTTAAAGACCCTTTAAGCTCTAAATCCTATGATTTTATAATGTTTTATAACTTTCCTAAAGGCTATTTGTATGTTGCATATTATCTTATACTTCTTTATGTCCGTCACAGTGCCTTTTAAATAACAGAATAAATACTTGTTGGAGGTTTAATAGTTAATAAGGAAATGCCACAGAGGGGGAAAAAGTAAAGATGCTATAAAACCCAATAAAACAAAAGTTGCAGTATTGAAAAATTTCAGAGAAATGTACAAATAACAATGTTATGTGTATCTACAAACATAGCTACAAAAATAAACAAGAAATGAACTAGATTATTTTTCTCTTACCTCTTGAGCATCAAATCTTAGTATCTCTTTCATGTATGTTGGCAATAATGTTAATAAAGTATAGAAAGTCCAGTTGTAGGAAAAATGTGCCACAACAATAGACCAAAGTGGTAGTGATTTCAGCATAGATATCCATGGTACTGACTTCTGTGCAGTAAGCTAAAGAAAATAGGTGAGATTAAGAAAAAGATTTATTTTTTATGTCTGAAACTTTGTCTAAGACCTAAGTCCAGAATACCTATGGAAAGTAATTCATATCACCATATTCTGAAAATTAATTTACTGAGCATCAATACATATTAACTAATTAAATGTGATATAAACTATTTTAGAATTTTAATGACTAATTATTAACTGCAATATGATTAATTAATCCACAAACCTGTGGTTCAAATTAGAAGAAAAGTATGAAGAAATTCTGGCTCTATAAGGTCATCCCTACAGCACCACTGTAAATTCCAGAAGTCATTCATGATCCCACTTTCTCTAGAAAAGATACAATGTATTTCCTTTTTTTGGGGGCTAGCAATGGGGTTAAGTGACTTGCCCAGGGTCACACAGCTAGTAAGTGTTCTATGTCTGAGGCCGCATTTGAACTCAGGTCCTCCTGAAATCAGGGCTGATGCTCTATCCACTGCGCACCTAGCTGCCCTTTTATTTTCTATAGAAAAGATGAAATAGTTTTATTACCAATCTCAAAAAGTAAGAGTTAGAGCTACATATACAAAATTCTGAGTCTCTCCACCAATAGAACCCACTCCCCTCCCAAAAAAAATCCCTCTTGCCCCTCATAATAGAAAAAGTAAACAATTTCTGTCAAAAAAATTTCAAAAATAACAAATAAAATGTTTAAGACATTTGTACATTATTGATATTCATTCTCCTATAAAGATTTCTATAAAATATGCATTAGAAAAATTTTTTATATAAAACTGTCTATAGGATCAGATCATCATGATTCCTATAAAACAGTAGCTAGCATAGTACCTTGCATATAGTAGGTATTTAATGACGGCTTTGTTGAGTTGCACTGAATTGAAAAATAGGAGCAAGATGTATTCCAGCCATTTTTACAAATTTACATTTTTACAACTGCCCTAAAAGGACTGAAAGAGTAGCCACTAATAATAGCAACCATTTATTCCCATTGAGGTTATTAAGTACGGAATTTACTGCCCAGATTGTCTACAAAGATTGGGACAAAGAATAAAAGCAAATTTGAAGGCTTTCATGTTTGAAGGAAATTATAGCCTACTTTCTTTTAATTTTAAGTTCACAGGATCATAGATTCGGATCTAGAAGGGGCCTTATAGGTTATCCAGTTCAACCTCTTTGTTTTATAGATAAGGAAATTGAGGTCCCCAAATGGTAAGTGACTTACCCAAGGTAATAACATTGACAAGTACTGATATTAGGATTTGAACCTAGGTTTTCCTGACCCCAAACCCAGCATTCTTTTCCTCTATATAAAGTGACATTGTTTTAAAAAATAATCTAAAATTCAAAACATAAGCAATATTTTAAAATAAGCTATTACTATTATTATTATTTATGGTGCCAATTTTAAATAGATTTTATTCTCCAGGACAAGAATTGTATTTCCACTTGTTTACGGTACTGATAAAGTGCAATGTTGTTCACTTCTTTCCCTCTACGCACATTCAAGTATTCGGAATGCCCAGATTTACACAGTAGCTTAAATGTTACTTTTAAACCACTACTGCCTTAGTTACAAATTTGAGTCCTTCAATTTTTGGAAAGCTGTGTGGAATGCTCTTTCTTCTGGTGTGTTTAGTCAACCTCTTTAATGGTGGGTCCAGAAGAAGCATCTCCAGATGGGGCTGCTCCACCCCCTGGGAACCCACCAGGCATGACTCCTGGCATGCCCCCTGCACTCTGGTACAGCTTAGTAATGATGGGGTTGCAGACCTTCTCCAGTTCTTTCTGCTGACGCTCAGATTCTTCCTTCTTAGCAGCCTGGTTCTCACCCAGTCAGTTGATTATTTCATTACATCTGTCAAGGATCTTCTGTTTGTCTTTGTCACCTATTTTGCCTTGCAGTTTTTCATCCTCTTCAGTAGCCTTCATGTTGAAAGCATAATATTCAAGACAATTCTAGGAAGATACCTTGTCTCTCTGCTTATCTTCAACCTTGTATTTCTCAGCCTCCTGGACCATATGCTCAATGTCTTCTTTGCTCGGATGGCCTTTATCATTGGTGATGGTGATGTTGTTCTCCTTGCCTATGCTCTTATCCACAGCAGAAACACTGAGGATGCCATTTGCATTAACGTCAAATGTTACTTCAATCTGAGGAACACCCTTGGGTGCTGGAGGGATTCCTGTGGGCTCAAACTTGCCAAGTAGGTTGTTATCCTTTGTCATTGCTCTCTCACCTTCATAAACCTGAATAGGTACACCAGGCTGGTTGTCTGAAAAGGTAGTATAGGTCTGTGTCTGCTTGGTGGGGATGGTGGTATTACATTTGATCAGAACTGTCATAATTCCACCAACAGTTTCAATTCCAAGGGAAAGAGGAGTGACATCCAACAGCAACAAGTCCTGCACGTTCTCATATTTATCTCCAGACAAAATGGCAGGCTGGACAATTGCACCATAGGCAACAGCCTCCTCAGGACTGAAATTCTTACTGAACTCCTTGTCACTGAAGAAGTCTTGTAGAAGCTTCTGGGTTTGGAGGATGTGAGTGAAACCACCCACCAGGATGATGTCATGAATCTGTGATTTATCTAGCTTGGCATCTCTTAAGGCGTTTCCCACAGAGTCCAGTGTGCTATGGAAGAGATCAACATTCAGCTCTTTGAAATAGAAGTCGATACCTGCATAGAGGGAATCAATCTCAATACTGGTCTGGGTACTGGAAGAGAGGGTATGCTCTGCATGTTCACAAGCGGTATGTAGACAGCGAACAGCCCTCTTGTTCTCACTGTCCTTGTGCTTTGCTTGAACTCAGCAATGAAATAGTCGACTATTTGGCTGTCAAAGTCCTCCCCACCTAAGTGGGTGTCCCCAGCTATGAACTTGACCTCCTCAAAAATGCCATCTTCAATGGTAAGAATAGAGACATTGAAAGTACCACCTCATATGAATGTAATGGAATAGTATTGTGCTACAAGAAATGATGAGCAGGCATATTTCAGAAAAACCTGGAAAAACTTGTGTGGACTGATGCTGAGTGAAGGGAGCAGAACCAGGAGAACACTGTATACAGTACCAGCCACACTGTGCAATGACTAATGTTGACAGACTTAGCTCTTCTCAGCAATGCAAGGATCTAAGACATATCCAAAAGTCTCATGATGGAACACATCCAGAGAAAGAACTATGGAGTTTGAATGCAGATCAAAGCATACTATTTGCTCTTTTTTTTTTCTTCTGTTTTGTTTTGTTTTCTCTTTCTTGTAGTTCCTCCTATGGCTTCTAATTCTTCCTTACAACATGACTAATGTGAATATATGTTTAATAGGAATGTGTATGTAGAACCTATATCAGATTGCACACTGTCTTGGGGAGGGAGGTGGGCAGGGAGAAACATCTAAAACTCAAAAATGTATAGAAGTGATTATTGAAAACTAAAAATAAATTAATAATAATAATAATAAAAGAAAGTATTACCTCCAAGGTCAAAGATCAAAACATTTCTCTTGGCACCAACCTTTTTGTCCAAGCCATAAGCAAAAGCAGCAGCAGTTAGCTCACTGATGATCTGGAGCACATTGACAGCAGCGATGGTTCCAGCATCTTTGGTGGCCTGACGTTGGGAATCACTGAAATAGGCTGGTACTGTGACCACAGCATTTATAATGGTCTTTCCAAGGTAAGCTTCAACAATTTCTTTTATCTTAATCAAGACTACAAAAAATACTTCTTCTGGATAGAAACTTTTGGTCTCCCCTTTGTACTCCACTTGGACGTTAGGCCTGCCTGTATCATTCACCACCGTGAAAGGCCAATGTCTTACTGTACAACTGCATCATCAAATCTGTGACTAATCAGACATTTGGCATCAAAAACTGTGTTGGTGGGGTTCTTTGCAACTTGATTCTTTGCAGTATCACTGATTAAACATTCTGTGTCAGTGAAGGCGATGTAGCTTGGGGTGGTCCTGTTTCCTTGGTCATTAGCAATGATCTCTACTTTCTCATATTGGAAGACTCCCACACAAGAATAAGTGGTGCCAAGATCAATGCAACTGTGGGTCCCTTTGACATGGTTGCTGGGGAGTCAGGGGTCATAGCTGACCACTATGGAGGAAGAAGGGCTGTTGTTGCGCTAAGTAGACCAATAATCTATTATTATTGACCCAATGTTTCATAATTTTTCCAAACCTGAAAACCTCCCCACTCCTCACTGCTATGGCTTGCAGATGAGTTTTCTAGTTTGGGAAAAGTTATGATCAATCCTGAGGTGAATAACAGTACTAAGATTTATGTAAATATTTAGTTTAGTGCTTATATGCAAATTAGTAAAATCTTCAGTAAAATGGTGAGACCAACTTTATGATAATATCTACTAACATTTTTATTCTACAAGTTATTTTGAGGGAAGAAAGACTATTATTTGTAAATATTGTCATACTAAATACGCAATTTCAAAAGCAAATAGGCTGAACAAACATCCTAATATGTTAGATGTATTCTTCAGACAATAAAAAAAAAAAACAACTCTTCACAAGTCTAAGTGAGGATAATAATGACGAAATTTGGGTACAAGTAACTTTTCCAAATGTTCCCATTGCGGAAACACAGAGGTTCAGAGCTAAAGTTTATCTGGTTTCACTTTTTTTTTTATTAAATTAAATTTGGAAAAATTACTAATGCCTAGTTTTGCATAAAAGTAATTTTGTATAAAAGTAGTTTCCTCACTTGCTACAGAAGCCTACCTTGTAATAAAGAAAAACAGTTAATCAAAATCAATTGATACAGAAATCACTTCTGATAGCATATGCAATGTTTTTCACCTATATAGTAATCCACTTTTCTCCTGAGAGGAAGAAAGTGTGCTTCATCAGCTGTTCTTAAGACAAAGACTTAATCTAATTAATTTGACTTAATCTAATTAATTAATGAAGAAACAAGGGGTCTAGAAGGGTTAAATGACTGGACTAAGGTGCTGCTTCAGGACACTTTCCCTGACAGCCCACTGCCCATTGTGCTTCAAAAAGAGCTACCTGACCACACATTTATACCCAAATCACTAAGGTTTTCATTGAAAGACCAACTATAGCCCCCAGCCTAAACCTTTATGGCTCAGTTTAGATACAGATGGCTTAAAATAGGTGTAAATAGCAATCATTTTCTGTTCAAACAAGAAACTTTTGAGGGTCTTCCCCTTTTTTGTGCTGGTAAATTAGGCCATCTTTTGTCTAGATTTTTGCCCAGCCCTTAGTCACTGAATGGGTCTTGCCTCAGAAAGACAGAGGCCAGAAAACTGACCCTAAGTTAGAAAGGCTAAGGTTAGCCATTACAACCTTGGTCATCGCCAGTTGTCCTGACTTTTGTTTTGCCACTGGACTTTGATGACTCTGGAAGAAAGAGTGAAATTGATCAGAGACCACAACTCTGCCTCACATAAATCCAATTCATTTCCAAGTTAAGACACCCTCATGATGTCATTGGTCCTCTTTGAAACCAAGGATGGAACAACAAACAAGGTAAAAAAGAATTCCTTCTGTTGATAACATCAGTATCACAAGGCTGGTCCAGACAGTACCCTCAAGTGACAATATTCTACTAGTAAATAAATGCTACAAAGTTAATGGGATTTTAAAAGAATTTCCCAAGAGGATCAGATACAAAATCTTCATGGAATATATCACTTCCTTTTGTGTTCTCCTTTTTATTTAAATAACACCAACATAAAATTAACAAATACACTTTAGGCAATCATCTAAGGTTAGAATTTAAAAGAACAAAAATTTAGAATTTAGTCAATAAGCTTCTTTTCAGTTATGCTGTAGTTCATTTCCTATTTACAATGATAAATTTATATGATTTGGATGATTCGAATGACAGTTGCCTTAATTCATATGACAACAAAACCACACTTACAACTTTTATTTCACCTGCTCAGGTTGGTTTTAATAGAAATATTAATGCAAACAAAGCCAGAACTTACTTTCCTCTTGAATGGTCAAGCACTAATGTGCTAAAAGTCCATACCTGATCTTTCAAAGAACAAAGAATGTATTCCTTTTCCGACACAGAGATAGTCTTGTGAGTTTCTGGTCTATCACTAACCAACCACATCCATAAAATGAACCAAAGTATTCCAAGAGCACCTTAAAATTGAAAGGCAAGTTTAAAATATGTAAATATATATACTGAAACATTTAGTATAAAGGGATAAAAATGATTTATTCAAGTAATGAAAAAACAAGCTATTGCACAAAACATTACCATTAATCACTGAAACTATCAACATGAAACACTTATTAGAATGTGAGCTCCTTAAGGGCAATTCTACATACTACAGGTAGCACATAGTAAATACATATTTTTTTTATTCATTCTTGAATCCATGGTGTCAGAATAGATGGTATTCCATAGATGTTTCCTTCAGCCCCTTTGTGAGGTTAATTTCTAGAAACATATCATTTCCTATAACAGTTACAGAAAAGGAAAAGAGTTTCCAGGCACAGGACTTAGATGGACAGAGTCGATCAGCTAAAATGATTTCCTGAAAAAATTTGCAGACTATACCTAAAGCTTCTGGTTTTGCTTTTTTTTTAATGAAGAAAACTGGAGAAAACCATGGAACTGTGTTGACTAGGTCCAGTACAAGTTTATGTCACATGGATCACTGCAGCAAGGCAATTTTTTTTTTTTACATTTCTATTCACTATCCCACTCACAAGTGTCTTCCAAACCATTTCACCCCTTCTCAAACCTCACATGGCTCTTCCTACCCTCACCTTCTCAACTCAGAACCCTGCTGCATATTTCACTGAAAAAAAAAAAATGAGGGGGGGCAGTGAAGTGGTGCAGTGGATAGAGCACTGGCCCTCAATTCAGGAGGACCCGAGTTCAAATCCAGCCTGAGACACATAACACTTACTAGCTGTGTGACCCTGGGCAAGTCACTTAACTCCAATGCCTAGACCAAAAAAAAATGAAGCCATTAGCAGAGCTCTATCTTCTCCCCTGCTCTTCATTTCACATCATTCAGATGGCTCCTGTCACTACCCCTCCTTTACCCTTGTCTCACATGAAGAGGTGGCTCTTCTCCTTGCTATGGCACATTCCTCTATATGTACAAGTGATTCCATTTTAGCCAGTCTGCTCCAATAGATTGCCCCTTCTATCTTTCTCACTAATCTTCAATCTCTTTTTGTCTATGTGCTGCTTCCCTAGGCTTACAAACGTGTCCACATCTCTGCCATCCTCAAAAAACCCTCACTAGATCCATCTATCCCTGCTACCTCTTGTCATGTATCTGTCCTCCCTTTTGTGGCTAAACTCCATGAGAAGGTCATCTACAGTGGGTACCTTCAATTCTTTTCCTCTTACTCTCTTTAACACTTTTGCAGTCTGGCTTCTGATTTTATCATTGGACTGAAACTACTCTTTCCAAAGTTACTAATGATCACTTATTTGCCAAAGTTAATGGCTTTTTCTCAATCCTTATCCTACTGGACTTCTCTATAGATTTTGACATTATTGATAAGACCCTTCTTCTTGATTCTTTCTTCTTTCTAAGTTGTGTGGCACTATTCTAAGATAGGTTCCCAAAATGGGCAATATTGCCTCTTGGTGGGCGCTGGAACCATGGGGGGGCAGTAGTAGCCTCAGGTGCAATTGGAGGGCGCTGAATAAAAATAAGAGGGTGACGGAAGCATAAGGAAAGAAGAGAAGATAAGAAATTTTTGAAAAACTGTTTGTCCATGTTTCATCTGTTGTGTAACAGAGTTAAAGTTGCAGTGATTACATTATTTTCCAAATAAACACACAAAATGCAAGTTATAACTGATCAGTGGTCAGTCCACTGACAGGTCTTAACAAGCAAGTGCTGGTAGGTGAGCCAGGTGGGAAGTCCAGCATGCATCAGCAGGAATATGTGCATGTAATGACTTGTTTACAATATGATAATATATGGTTACATGACTCAATATTGCATCATTAAAATTTCAATGCAGGAAAAAACCCACAAATTTACATTAAGTTATTAAATTTAAGATGTATCATTTAAAAATATTTCCTATTTTTTGAAATGACACAAATCTTAAAAAAAAACTAAACTAACTGTTAAAGAGCTAAAGAAAGTAGATTTCCAGGGGGGTGCTGAGTAATTTTTTTTTTAAAGGGGATGGTAGGCCAAATAAGTTTGGAAACCTCTAATCTATACTATCTCCTCCTACCTTTCTGACCACTCCTCTGTTTTCTTTTCTGGTCTTCATTCATATCACGCATATTAACAGCGGGAGTCCCCAAAGGCTCTGTGTAGAACCCTTGTTTCTTCTCCATCTATACTATTCATTTGGTGATTTCATCAGCCATCTTAATTTCAAGGATCATTTCTATGTTGATGATTCTCAAATCTACTTACCCAGCCCAGACTTTTCTGCTGAACTCATCTCATCTCCAACTGCCTACTAGACATCTCAAACTGGATATCCCACAGAAATCTCAAACATGACATGTTCAAAACTGAATGTATCATTCCCCCCTAAACTCTCCCCTCTTCTTAATGTCCCTATTACTTTAAGGGTAGTAGTATCCAGCCAGTTACCCAGAAGTCATACTTGACTCCTCACTCTTGGCCCCTCCTCCCCCCATATCCAATCTGTAGCCAAGGCTTGTTGATTTTCCCTTTGTAACATCTCTTGTGTAGGCAAGGCCCTCTCTGACATTGCTAGCACTCTTGTACAGTTCCTCATCATCTCATGGCTGGACTAGTACAATAGCCGCTGGTTGTTCTCCCTGTTTCAAACCTCTCCCTGTCACAGTCCATGTCCACTTAACTATCAAACTGGTCTTCCTAAAATGCAGGTATGACTATATCAACTCCCTATTCAATAAAATCCAGTGGCTCCTATTACTTCTAGGATCAAATATAAAATCCTCTGTTTGGCTTTTGAAGCCCCTTGTAATCTAGCCCCATTGTACGTTTCCAGGCTTATTATACTTTACTGTACTTCATATTCTCTGTGATCCAGTGACACTGGCCTCCTTGAAGTTCCTCACACAGGGCACTCTATCTCCAGACTGATAGCATCTTCACTGTCGGTCCCCTCTCACTGGAATTCTCTTCCTACTTGCCTTGTGCTCCTGCAATCGATGGATTCCTTCAAGTCTCAGATAAAGTCTCACTTTCTGCAAGAAGCTTTTCCCAGTGCTCCTTAATCTAAGACTACAACAAATTACCCTATATATAGATTATTTGTATATAGTTGTCTTCATGATATCTTCCCCATTAGACTATGAGCTTCCCAAGAGCAAGGACTGTTTCTAGTCTTTTATTGTACTCCCAGAGATTAGCACAAAGCCTGGCACAGAGTAGGTGCTTAATTAATGCTAGGTAACTAATTGTAGGCATTTTTCCTGTTTTTGTTCTAATACATATAAATATTAAGGCCTGAGAATAGAAATATTTGTGGTACAACTTCATTAATGAAAAATGTATACAATCTTGCCCCTAGAATTTTAACGAATAGAAAGCTTTGAGAAAAAGATGGAAAAGAACTGAAAATATAAGGGAGAAGAATTATATAGCAGTACTTTGTACGAGTCTTTATCACCATAATTTTTGCTAATGACACTGACTTAATGATTAAAACCTAAAAAGTTAGGTGTAGGTTTTTTTTTTCCTTTAGTTTCAGATCATTACTTTAAAACTCTCACAACTTTTTACCAGATAATTTCAAGAGATGTATACTACAAAAACCTGAAGAATAAGTTACCTATGAGGTTTTTTTAAAATTGTTTTACCTCTAGTTGGTGGCTATTTTACTAAATAGGTTAAAATTTCTATTCTAGTTGGCAAAATTTTTACCAAATTAGAAGTTTCTGACATACTCTATTTTAAGGTGTGTATATTGCTTTTTTTTTTGGTGAGGGGAAGTAGGCTTGGACTTGTTAATTCATCCCCATGGGGAACTTGTGGTATAACTTTCTCCACCACTACAGATCTGCAACCTGTCTGTAATTTCTAGTATCAGAGTTATCTGAGGCACTGAGAGATTAAGTGTCTTGCCCATGGTCACACAGCCATTACTTTTATGTAAGACATAGGACTTGAACTCAGGTGCTGTAATTCCAAAGCCGTCCCTCTATGTACTATGCCACATACATCTTCTATTAAATTTAAAAAAATCACATTTAGAATAAACTTACCAAAAAAGTAGAAGACATAAGTCCAATTCATATAGAAACAAATTATTCCAGACAGTGGAAGTGAGATGACCGTTCCAAGCTGTGCTCCTAGGCAAGAAAATGATTATAGTTATGTTAACAGTAAATGATCATGGTTGGGAGAAGCCATCCATTTGGAGAAAAAGGTTAGCACAATGCAGGAAAAATATAAGAGCCATCTCCGACTTTGTTTCTGCATTGTCTACCAATGAAAGTGATTTAAAGTCATTCCCCAATTGATAAATTGTCAAAGGATATGAACAGGCAGTTTTCAAATGAAGAAATTAAGGCTATCTATAGTCATATGAAAAAATGCTCTAAATCACTACTGATTAGAGAAATGCAAATCAAAACAACTCTGAGGTACCACATCACACCTATCAGATTGGCCAACATGACAAAATAGGAAAATGATAAATGTTGGAGAAGATTTGGGAAACTTGGAACACTAATGCCTTGTTGGTGGAGTTGTGAACTGATCCAACCATTTTGGAGAGTAATTTGGAACTATGCCCAAAGGGCTTAAAAATTGTGCATACTCTTTGACCCAGCAATAGCACTTCTAGGGCTGTATCCCAAAGAGATCATAAAAATGGGAAAAGGATTGACATGTACAAAAATATTTATAGCAGCTCTTTCTGTGGTGGCAAAAAATTGAAAATTGAGGGGATGCCCATCAATTGGGGAATGGCTGAACAAGTTGTGGTATATGAATGGTATGGAATAGTATCGTGCGATAGGAAATGATGAGCAAATGGACTTCAGAAAAACCTGGAAAGACTTGTATGGTCTGATGCTGAGTGAAGTGAGCAGAAACAGGAGAACATGGTACACGGTAATAGCCACATTGTGCGATGACTAATGTTGACATACTTAACTCTTCTCAGCAATGCAAGGATCTAAGACATCTCCAAAAGTCTCATGATAGAAAATATTATCCACATCCACAGAAAGAACTATGGAGTTTGAATGCAGATGAAAGCATATTATTTGCTCTTTTTTTTCTCTTCTGTTTTGTTTTGTTTCTTCTTTCTTGTGGTTCCTTCTATTGGTTCTAATTCTTCTTTACAATATGACTAATGTGAAAATATGTTGAATAGGAATATATATGTAGAGCCTATGTCACATTGCATGCCGTCTTGGGGAGGGAGGGAAAGAAAATTTAAAACTCAAAAGTTTATGGAAGTGATTGTTGAAAACTAAAAATAAATAAATTAATTAAAATTTTAAAAAAGTAATTTAAATGAAAAAGGGTAGAACAAAATTCATTGAAGGTGTCAAAAGGCAATCATAAGTGCAGGGGACCTCTTAACCACTCTTAACAAAGGCAGGGATTCAATCAATCAGCAAGTGTTTATTAAGAGCCTATGTGCTAACCAAAACTAATTCAACCAAAATTAGAAGCAAAACAGAAAACTGGGAAAAAAATTTTACAGCAGATTTTTCTGATAAAGGCTTCATTTCTCAAGTTTATAGGAAAGTGAGCCAAATTTATAAAAATAAGAGCCATTCCTCAATTGATAAATGGTCAAGGGATATGAACAGGCAGTTTTTAGAAGAAGTCAAAGCTATTAATAATCACATGAAAAATGCTCTAAATCACTATTGATTCGAAAAATGTACATTAAAGCAACTTTGAGAGACCACCTCACAGCTATCACATTAGCTAACATGACAGAAAAGGAAAATGACAATGCTGGAGAGGATGTGGAAAAACTGGGACATTGTTGGCGGAATTGTGAACTGGTCCAACCATTTTGGAGAACAATTTGGAACTGTGTCCACAGGGCTATAAAACTATGCATTCCCTTTGACCCAGCAATACCACTACTAGGCCCCTATCTAAAGAGATCAAAGAAAAGAGGAAATGACCTATTTGTACAAAAATATTTATAGCAACTCTTTTCTTGGTGGCAACGAATTGGAAATTGAGAGGATTAGTGAGTGGCTGAACACATTGTGGTATAAGATTGTGAGGGAACATTATTGTGCTATAAGAAATGAGAGGAGGATGGATTCAGAAAAGCCTGGGAAGACTTAACTGATTCAGAGTGAAGAGAACAAAACAAGGAGAACATCATACTCAGTAATAGCAATGTTGGAAGGATGATCAACTGTATAAGACACATTTACTCTAATCAAGACAATGATACAAGACAATTCCAAAGCACCCATGATGAAAAATACTGTCAACCTCCAGAGAGAAAACTGATGAACTCTGACTGTGTCCTTTTTTAAAACTTTCTTTATTTTTCTTGTGTGTGTGTGTGTTTTCTTTTGCAATATAGCTAGTATGGAAATATGTTTTGCATGATTCCACATGTATTGTTGTTGTTCAGTTGTTTCTGACTCTTCGTGATGCCATTCGGGGTTTTTTTGGCAAAGATACTGTAGTGGTTTGCCATTTTCTTATCCAGCTCATTTTACAGATGAAGAAACTGAGGCAAATGGGGTTAAGTAACTTGCTCACAGTTACACAGCTAGTAAGCATCTGAGGCCAGGTTTGAACTCAGAAAGATGAGTCTTCTAGACTCTAGGCCAACACTCTATCCATTGTGCCACTTAGCTATATAATAAATAGTATATTGCTTGCCTTCTTATAGTGGGTGGGGAGGGAGGGAGAGAATTTGTAATGCTGTGGAATGTTTTGAGCATGGTCACATGTCAAAGACGCCAACGTCATCCACTGCATACAGGGACATCACCAGTCATCCTGACTTTGTCGTGCTGCTGGACTTCAATGACTCTGGAAGACAGAGTGAGGCTGACGACTTTGCGCAAACTCTGCCTTACCTAAATCCATCCCATCATCTTTCGTCTTCAAAACAACGGACAAACAATAATGTTATCTTGTGTTCTAGAAATCTTTTGATTTTGTTTTGCTATTTCTTGTTGTCTCATGGAGTCATTGATTTCTATTGGACTCATTCTAATTTTCAGAGATTTCAATTCTCAAGTAGTTTTTACTATCATCTCTTCTAAGTTATTAATTCTCCTTATCATTCTTTCTTCCTTAGATGCTATATCTTCTTCCTATATTTTGTACTTCTTGTTCACTTCTTCTAGGTCTTCTTTTAAGTCCTTGAGGCTAGGATATTTTTTTCTCTGGGTTTACCTCATGGGCTTTACTTAGTCTATAGTGTTTCTTCATTGTGCTTGGTGTTTTCTTCTATCTACTTATTTCTAACTTGAGTTTCTGGATTGGAGCTTTTAGCTTGGCTCAAATGCTGCTTCTTCCCATACTCTTAGAGGGTGGGAACAGGCCCCCTTGGTCCTAGATACAGTTGGCTAAGCCTAAGTTCCCACTTTCTGCAAGAATTCCTGGGTTTTGGCTTAATCTTCTAGTAGATCAATTTAGGTTCTACTCTGGCTTCAGCCCTTTCTCTATCTTCATCTCCTTGCACAGTTCTAAACCCAGTGTTGGTTCCACTCCTTGCTGTGAGCCTGCCAGGAGTCAATCAGATGTTAATTTTATTAGTAGCAGGTCTCCTAAAAGGAGGCCATAGATATTTTGCTTCCCAGATCCTTTCTCCTGCTATGAATTGAGGATGGGTGGTTTACTGCATAAGTCCCAGGCTCTTTGCTGTTTGGTCCAGGATACTTTAATGACTGGGTGCTGACTTGGCCTTGTCTCCTGATCTGGATGCAGGTGCCTGTGTGCTTGGCCTTACACTTATACTGACTTATCTCTGCTCAGAGCTTCTGCAGGATTCTAGAATTCTTTTGTGCAATTGTGGACTGACTGGAGGAGCTCAGAGTTTTTTTTTTCTTTTCTTTTCCTGTCTTTTTTTTTTTGTTATTCCTTATTAGTATACCTTCTGGTGTACTTGTATTGGAATTTGTTGATGACCTCATTTTCTCTAGATTCTAACTTGCTGTCTCCAACAATTCCTCCATCCTTTTTTTAAAACACCAATTCACTTCTGATTACTCCCCCTTCTCCTTAACCAGAAAATCTGCAATGGCATTTTGTACCAAAGCTAATAATTGTCTCAATTAGTTTTCTTCCTAATTCTCTCAGATTTTTAAAGTAAACCATCTGCAAAATAGATAACTTTATCTCCTCTTTGCTAATGCTTATTGCCCCTGATTTTTTTCTTGTCTTGTTATTCTTGCTAGCATGTCAATAACTATGTGTCAAATTATAGAGGGGTAGAGGGAGGATCCTTGCTTTACTCCTGTATTTTTGGGGAAAGTTTCCAGTGGTTCCTATTACAAAGTATGCTAATTTCTCATTATTGTGGTAGATAGTATAAAACCAAACCATTTTCTGCCAAACCTAAAGCAGTCTTCAATGGAAAAACTATGTGTCTGAAAACATACATGAATAAAATAGAAGAAGAAAGGTAGAATGAACCAATAATATAATGTTTAAAACTATAAAACCAACAAATAAACATAAAAGAGGAAATCTAGAGAATTAGAAGAGAAATAGATAAAACGTTTTAACATATTAAAGAGTGGCTTTATGTATGTGCTTTGTAAGATTTTTGGCATAATTAAGTATTGCACTTTGTACCTACTGATATTCATGTGGTATTACAGTCTTTGTTATTAGTATGATCATATTGATAGAGTTTGTTCGTTTAACTCATATGTTGTGAATTTTTGTCTTTATTTACTAGCATGAATACAAGTCTGCTTTTTTGGATTCACCTAATGACCCGTAAATTTTGTTGCTTAATAAATCCTTGCTGAGTAATACAACATACCAAAACTCATGTGAGAAAGCTAAAGCAGTTTTAAGAGGTGAATGTCAAGAATATTTAAGAAAGTAATGGAAAAAGTAAGAATGAAGGGGTTTTGGCATTTTACCAAAACTCAAATTATATTATGAGGCAGTAATTATCAAAGGTATCTGGTATTATACAAAAAACAGAAATGCCGATCAATGAAGTAAAAGTAATACATAAAGCAGTCTGGTCTTTGATAACCTAAAGAATGCCAGGTATTAGGGAAAGGATGTTTTATTCAACAAGAACTACTGAGAAAATTGGATAGAGAGGCTTAGCAGAAAATAGGTTTAGAGTTGAATTTATATTCTCTACTACAATAATTTACAAGTAGATAAAAAAGTTAAATATAAAAAAGTAGCATGGTTAAAAACTTAAGAGAATGAAGGTTCTCTATCTCTAAGCCTCTTTCAAAAGTTTTACTTATTTATTTAAAACAATAATTTTTAAAAATTCTGAGTCTTAACTTCTAATATAGTAAAATACTGATAGATATAACCCATATAAACAAAAGCTCTGTGGGATCCTCAATAATTTTTAAGCTGTGTAAAGGGGTCCTAAGACCAAAAAAATCTGAGAACCACTAGTTTAAGATATAACAGCATCTAAGTATCTAAATACAGAGAAAAACTGCATAAACAGGCAGGGGATGAAAATCATGCTATGCGCTTTAGACACATTACCCCCTTTCCTCTTATCCCTCCCCCAACTAACTCCTTTCTCCTGCTGGGGGGTGGGGAGTAGGGGAGGAACCCCTTTGTAACAATTATACATAGTCAACAAATACCTCCATGTCCAAAAAATCTGTGTTTAGATATGCTTCTTAAAAGAGAATTTAATTATCTTACCTGCATATGAAATACTAAGAAGTTTGCTTCTTTCAAGAGGAGGAGCCCAAGAGGCCCACATAGCATGCATAGCAGGAAATGTAACACCCTGGACAATAAAAAGAAATTCTGGATGAAATACAAAAATATTTTGTTTGTATCCCCTTAATAATTATTAGGCACAAATATTATTGCAAACTTGTTACTCAAGAAATTCTTGAAGTAACAATTAGATTAGATTCTCACTACATCATCCTTGAGTTCAATACCATGAAATACATCTTATGTTGTTAGTGGAAATTACCATAGAATGCAGTCCTTTTTTGTTAATCTAGCAATTAAATCTACCTCAACAGCTTGGAAGAAAAGGCTCATTTCATCTAATTTTTTCCTAGAAATTTGGGATAGATTAGGTTCCAGTGCATTCTTTCCAAGTTTTAAATATCATACTTACATAATCAGTTGCTTCCCAAAGGCAATGCAGTGGAAAGTGTGCTGGGCCTAGAGACAGGAAGACTTGAGTTCAAACTCAGCCTCTGGCACTTAGTAGTTGTGTGACTCTGGGCAAGCCACTTAATCTGTTTGCCTCAATTTTTTTCAACTTTAAAATGGGGATAATAATAGCACCTACCTCCCAGGTTGCTGTAATGATAAAAAATGCTGAAAATCTTAAAGTGCTATGTAAGTGCTAGCTATCATTAAGCGTGAAAGAGTTACTATGACTATCTTTTAAAATAAAAAAGTGATCAATTTAAATAGTATCTCAGTTTTAATACAACTGGAAGAATAATTACATTTCTTCTATGTGGCTTAGAACCAGAAGCAATGCATGAAGGCTACAAAGAAGTGAGTTTAGGCTCTAACAGTCAGAGCTGTTCAAAAGGATAACAGAGGGGTAGCTAGGTGGTGCAGTGGATAGAGTACTGGCCCTGGATTTAGGAGGACCTGAGTTCAAATCCGGCCTCAGACACAAAACACTTACTAGCTGTGTGACCTTGGGCAAGTCATTTAACCCCATTGCCTAACCCTACCCCCCCAAAAAAAATCAAGGGCAAAAGGATAACAGGCTGCCTTGGGAGATGGTGGATCCTCCTTGACTTGAGGCCTTCAAGCAGAAGTTGGCTGACTACTTGTCAGGTATCCTATAGTGGAGAACCCTTTTTGAGGATGGATTTGACTAGTTGATCACTATCGGCCCTTCAAACTCTCAAATTCTGTGTGGTGTCTTCCTAGAGATCTACACAAAATCCCATTTTGTACTGGTATGATGTGAATCACATAACTATTAAGAGTCAGGGTGTTTGTCTAAGTTATGGCAAAAAGATGTTCACTGGCATATGATCTAAAAACCCAACGTTTATGAAGTATCCACTGAATGAATGAATGAAAAAACATTTATTAGGGAAATAGGAAGGGAATAAGTATTTAAATAGTGCCCACTATGTGTCAGGCATTGTGCTAAATGCTTTTTGTAAATATTTCGTTTAATCCTCACAACCCTGAGAGGTAGGGGCTGTGATTAACCCCATTTCAGAGGTGAGGAAATTGGGGCAAACAGGTAAAATGACTTGCCAGAAAGTATCTGAGGCTGAATTTGAACTCAGATCTTCTGACTCCAGCTCCCATGCTCTATTCACTACTATTTACTGCAGCACTAGCTGCCTCTTGAATACAGCCACATAAACATAACTGAGTTAAAGACTTTAAGATAATAAAGGCTGTGTAAATGTCATGGTGCCGGGCACATAGTAAATACTATATAAATGTCAGCTTTTAAAATCCAGCTGGGGGAGACAACAATACATACATGAGCATATACAAAATAAGTATCAGGTAATTTCAGGAGAAAGAAGAGAGCAGCTGGGGGTGGGTATCAGTAAAACTCATCAGTTTATGTGGATTTAATTATCATCTCTATACCAATGCCTCCCAGATTTACATAATCTAGCCCTGACCTCTATTCTCTAGTCTTGTTATCACGAATTGCCAGATATTGGACCTGGATGTCCCTGAGGCATCTCAAACTCAAAACAGACCTTGTTATCTTCCCCCGTCACTCTCTCCACAAGATACTTTACACTCAATTCCCAGTCCTTTGCCAAATCTTAGACTTTCTACCCTCATAATATCTGTTAATCTACTCCGTTTTACTTTAGTCATTTCTATCACCCTAATTCAGAATGAGTTATTGCTCCTACTTGGTCAGGCCATCCTCCACATAGCTGCCAAAATGATTTTTAGAGGTTCAGGTTTAATTATGTCATTCTACTCAATAACCTTCAATGACCCTATTTCCTTTATCAATTATAAATTCCTCTGGGAATTTGGGATTCAAAGCCCTTTATCTTATTCCAACCTACCTTTCCAGTCTTGTTACACATTATTGTCCTTCTTTTTCTTCTTCTTTTTTTTTTTTGAAGCAATTGGGGTTAAGTGACTTCCCAGGGTCACACAGCTAGTAAGTGTCTGAGGCCGCATTTGAACTTGGGTCCTCCTGATGCCAAGGCCCTGTGCTCTAACCACTGCACCACCTAGCTGCCCCTCACATTATTGTCCTTCATGTACACTACAGTCTACCCAAACCGGCCTTGTTAGTATTCTTTATACATGTTACTCTTTATTCATGCCTTTGCACTGGCTATCTCTCACACCTAGAATGCCTCCTTTTCACCTTCACTGTTTAGAATTCCTCGTTTCCTCCAAGAGGAGTGCTCAGACACCCCCTTTTGCATGAAACCTTTGCTGCACACGGCCAATGTTTGAATTTGTTTTGCTTGGGATTTTTGTTTTTCGCTTTTTAATGATAAGGAGAGGGTGGGAGGAAAAAATGATATTTGTTAATTTGAAAAAAATTTTTTTTCAAATAAAACCCCCCAAAACACCCCATTCCTTAAAAAGTACATTCCTCTCAAAACTGTTCACCAATTGTTAAAAAAAAAAAAGAATTTTTGTTACAAAAAAATGGGATTTAATTTTTCCAGCATAGTACTATTGAAAGTGAATTTCTAGAAGAACATAAGTGACTTCATTTTATTCTGTATTAACCACTTTACTGTACATGACCCCTTATGAACTGCAGGACCAGATGCAGCAGCTGGTATCCTTTAGTGACTCCTTTTTTCCTCTTAAGTGTACAAAAAGACTTAGTTGCTAAAGGATTCCAGAGTCCTAAGAATGACCTCCTTCTCCATCTGGCCTGATAGGCAGTTTGATGTAGTGAAATTAGCTATACTAAGAAGATAATGTCCTTATCTATCTCCTGTAGCAAATGATACATATTTTCTTTTAACAATAGATTGGTTAAATGATAGAAGGAGAAAATGACAAATGTTGGAGAGGATGTGGAAAAATTGGGACACTAATTCGTTGTTGGTGGAACTGTGAAATGATCAAGCCATTTTGGAGAGCAATCTGGAATTATGCCCAAAGAGTTATTAAACTAGCTACAGGGTATCTCTGACCCAGCAATACCACCACTTGGTAATTAGGGATAAAGGAAAAGAACCTATATGTTTTAAAATGTTTAAAGCAACTCTTTTTGTGATGGCAAAGAATTAGAAATTGCAGAGATGCCCATCAATTGGTGAATGGCTGAACAAGTTGTGGTATATGATTGTGATGGAATACTACTGTGCTATAAGAAATGATAGCTCAGTGATTTTAGAAAAACATGGAAATAATGAAATAAAGAAATAACAAAGAGAAATGAGCAGCACTGAGAGGATATTGTTTCAGTAACAGCAATATTGTTTTAAGAACGACTTTGAGTGAATGAATTATTTTGTCTGTTATAAATACCTAAATTAACTACAAAAGACATATGAAGAAAGATGTTATCTGCATCCAGAAAAAGAACTACAAATAGACGTATATGTGAGTATGTATACACACACACCTATTTGTGTTTAATGGTAGCCTTCTTGGGGGTGGGGGGTGAGAAGGGAAAAAAAAAGAAATTTACATGATAATTTTATTGTATATTTGAAAGGAATAGCAAGTTGTCCATAGTAGATTTGCAGTTTCATGTACAATCATCTTTTTTATTGCACTATATTATGGAAATGCTTGTTTTATTCCATAAATTAAAAATAAAATTTATAAAAAAAAAACCAAGTATACTATATTTTTTTGTCTGACCACCACATTTTAATGAAGAAAGTCTTTCTTTTGTTTCATGTAATGTATAAATATTCCTTGCTAAGTTGTGAATGACACATTCCCCATCAACTGCTAGTAGAGCATGCCACACTCTTGAATATAATAAAACCTGTTTCTGATTTGTTTTGGCTTACTGGCACTAGCTAGTTAAATTGATTAAGAAGTACTAACACAGTCTATTGTCTTTGACCACTTTTATTGCCTCTACCTGTTGATTTTGTTACAGTTTGAAGTCAATAAATATATTGTTCTGCTTTCTTCATTCTGTCTCACTTCATGTGTTCACAGAGGTTCAATAAATTAGGGCTGTAATAGAACTTAAGAGGTCATTTAGTTAAATTTCCTTATTTTACAGACAAGGAAACTGAGTCCCAGGAAGATTAAAGTGACAACTGGCAAAAATCTTTTCATGTTTCTCTGAATTCTACATATTTATAATTGCTTATGGAGCTGTAAGATTCTATTTCATTCACATATCACTCCTCAATCTTTGGGTACATATTTTGGTTTCCAGTTTTGGTTATGACAAATAATGCTGCTATGAACTTTTTAAAAAAAATTATGCACACACAAACACACATGTATTTTCTAACAGTTAGTAACTTCCTAGGGAAGAGCAGTGTTCTCCCAGACCACTGACTCTGCTTCTAATCTAGCTCTACAGTCATCACCTAGGGGAGCAATTCTTGTGGGCCTGCCATCCTCACCACCACCACCACCACCACCACCACCACCACCACCACCACCACCACCAC